ACTAAGTTCTTGATGCATGCTTTACTAGGAAAATATATCTATCGATCGTCTTTAATACGTAAAATGTGTCTACCCTTTCACAAATGTTTATTAAAAAGATATTTTTATCACCCCTTAGTGCATGAAAATGATAAGGTATAAATCATACACACTATCAAACAATCACTCGGAGCATAGATCAGAATATCCCTTCCTCCATCATACCATAGAGGAAGACATTAAATTAGACATGCTTATGAGAAGTTCGACTTTAAAAGAAAAAAAAATCAGATTTTTTAATTTTTCGTCGAGACTCGAGTGTTACAAAATAGTTCCTAGAATTGCAGTCATAAGTAATGGATCCTAACTCTATGAACGTAACCAAATCTCCAACTAAGGTTATATGGGAGGTCCTACCCAATAAAGAAGAGAAAGTTGGAGAATGGTCCTTCCTCGCACATTCAAAGCCTAAGTATCCTAACGAAGTCTCAATAAGCACAGTAGTATAAACGACCTCTCGTATTAGACCTTTGGAGGGTCGGGTCACTTGAATTGGCTACATTAGCCTTCTCCATCGACCTCTCGAAATAAAGCAAATATGCAGCCAATAGTTCCCAAATTAGGTTGGCTATATGGTCGTAATGAGAGTTTGGTAGCTAATCTCTCATGGATGAAGTTCACCTTTCTTTAACGTCTGAAAGTTACTAATATTTCTTCCATTTTATATCATTTTTTTAATAGGGTTATCATTGCATAAACTTCTCTTTGATTGGATACAAATACAAATATATAATATTTGAATAATTAATTGGTTGATTAGTAAATATTGTTAGACGAATACGCATATGAGAAGAAGAAAGGTGAGTCCATAACACATTATTAATTACATATGATATGTGGAAGAAGAAGCGAAGTCTTGAGCGATGGTGGTGAGTTGTTGGGCAAGTTCAAGGGGCTTGGAAGCCATGACCATGTGATCTGATCCCTTAACCTCGGCCTGACGATCGGGCTTGTTGAATGTGAGCATTGCCCACACCATGATCTTGGATGTCATCTCGTCCTTTTCTGATATGATGAAAGCCCTTTTCACCGACCCGTATTTGTCTCTTGTCAGCCTCAGCTCCTTCATCGACTCCAAGATGCCGAACATCGCTTGGGGCCTCTCCAGTGTTGTTGCCAATGCCACATCCTATATATACCAACATACATGCCGACGTCAATGCCTCATACTAATGGACATTTATTCCTTACTTATAACTCATGATCAACCTCTTAATTAGTCAATATGGGATTCATCTCTCAACAATTTTCTCCTTGAACAAAGTACACCATAGAGCCTCCCCTAAGATCTATGGAGCTCTCGAATAGCTCTCCTCAAACAAAGTACATCATAGAGCCTCTCCTGAGATCTATGGAGCCCTAGAACAACTCTTCTTGAACAAAGTACACCATATAGCCTCCCCTGAGGCCTTGGATCTCTCAAACAGCTCTCCTCGAACAAATTACATCATAGAGCCTCTCCTCAGATCAATAGAGCCCTTGAACAGTTCTCCTCGAATAAAATACACCATCGAGCATCTCTTGATATCTATGGAGTCCTAGAATAGCTTTCCTCGAACAAAGTACACCATAGAGTCTCTCTTAAGATCTATGGAGCCCTAGAACATCTCTCCTCAAACAAAGTACACCATAGAGCCTCTCCTGAGATCTATGGAGCCCTAGAACAGTTCTCCTCGAACAAAGTACACCGTAGAGCCTCTCCTGAGATCTATGAAGCCCTAGAACAGCTCCCCTCGAACGAAGTACACCATAGAGCCTCTTTTAAGATCTATGGAGCCCTAGAACAGTTCTCCTCGAACAAGTACACCAAAGAGCCTCTCCTGAGATCTATGGAGCCCTAGAACAGCTCTCCTTGAACAAGTACACCAAAAAGCCTCTCCTGAGATCTATGGAGCCCTAGAACAGCTCTCCTTGAACAAGTACACCAAAGAGCCTCTCCTGAGATCTATGGAGCCCTAGAATAGCTCTCCTCGAACGAAGTACACCATAGAGCCTCCCCTAAGGACATAGCTCTGATACCATGTTAGGAACCACGACCCTCCACAATGATATGATATTGTCCACTTCGAGCATTAGCTTACATGACTTTGTTTTTTGTTTTTCCAAACGCTCATACAATCGACATGTATTTCTTACTTATAAACCCTCCTTTCTTCACTCGGCTCAAGCATTAAGTCAAAGGAAGAACACAAACCTGAGGTGGCGAGAGAGGGAAAAGCTTGGTTTTCAATTCTTCTTGGGAGAATAGGAATAGGTTCGAATCAGAAGCTTTGGAATCCTCTTCGGAGTAGAAGGCTCTTAGCATTTCAAGTATTTTCATCTAACAAAAAAAAATAAATAAATAAACTTTATCACTTAAATGTCAATCGTTAGACCAACATTAAATTAGTCGACGTGGGACTTTCATTGTCCAAACAAAATTGAGTTAGATTTCAAACCAGTTCCTCAATGGTAAAAGACCCCACAATGGGACCAGGCATGGCTGCAGTCACAAAAATGGCAACAGACACTTTCTCAGGGAAACTCTCCATGGCCATGGAGATGCCGAGCCCGCCAAGGCTGTGGCCGACGAGAACAATCCGCTCATCTGAAGGCAACGCTTCCATGAAGCTCAACAATGGCTCGAAGTACTCAGTAAGCGATGCCAACGACTCGGGCTGCGTCTGGTTGATCCCGGCAGCGGCCATGTCAAGTGCAGTCACTTTGTGGCCAGCCGTTTGCAAAAGGGTAATGACCTTGTACCATGACCAAGCGCCAAGACATGCCCCATGAACAAGCACAAAGTGCGAATAGGTCGATTCAGATTGATCAGAACTCCGCGTTGGAGAGGAGAACAAAACCAGAATGAGAACCAAAAACGATAGCAAAAGCTTTTGCATTCTTAGCTATGTATTTTATTCTCTGTGCTCCTAGCTGCCATGTTCATATGTTCTTTAAACTATCTCAAGAAATTAAAAACAATTATAATTATGATAATAATTTTATGTTTGATTTTTGATATTAGGAGAGGGTATTTGGGGAAATTAATGGTGAATTTTGAGGTGGAGGAAGCTTAAAAACTCATCAACTAAGCCTTACTCATTGCTTAATCCAATCTTGGGATATAATTCAATCCCAAGAAGGGAATTATGTTGGAGTAAGATAATGGGAACTTATTTTAATTATTCATCCATAATTAAAAAAGTGGTTGCGATTGTTCCAGATGAAATGAATCAAAAGATACAGTAGAGCTAGGACAGTTATTGTATGAGGTCTACCCAATGCTAGATGCGCAGAGGCATATAATAGATCGATATGAACATCATGAGCTGTTCCGTAATAAAACCTGTTGTTGTTGATACTTTCTTCTCGGTTCTTTCTTCCATAACTCGAGCTCGGAGAAGGAAGAGATAAGAGGACCCTATGGAGAATGTGGTCAGAAATCCATAATAGAGTCCGACCACAACGACCGAATTGATTATCTTCATGCATAAGGATACTAGATTACCTAGTATAAAAGATTTTAAAATCATCTCAAACCTCCCTGTTTCTTTTCTATTGCAATTTTTGGAGAAACAGATAGACTAGAAACCGTCTTTTTATTCTTTTTTTTAATTTTATCAAATTCAAGAATTGAGTTGGAGATTTTGAATCGAAATTAATTTCTCATAACTAAATTAAATTATGTATGAATTGGTCGCATGGAGTTTAATTTTTTTTTAGGTTGAGAGATAGTGCAGATCATAAACTCTACTTTTATAAAATAGATTAATTAATGAGGTTTGGTAGAGGCGGGATGACATAGAGGTGATGTCATAATGTAGTTCTAACGAAAGTTTTAAATGTCGATATTAGATGAAAATGTCGAGATCACAATTTTACGAACATGTCAATAAATGTAATGTCGATATTCATGAATATTTGTAGAAAAAATATAAATATAAAAAGAGATGAGCTTAAATTTCTTACTATTAGTCATATTTTGTTATATTTCATCCATTCTTAATAATATAATAGAATGGAAAGAAATTTAAAACTTAGGGGCAAAACTTTGGTGACTATAATTTTCAAATTGGGTTTATAAGGTTCATTAGGTATAATTTGAATTTGATTCTTAGAATATATTTTACTAGCTTCGTTTTACCTCAATTAGGGAGGTTCATTTTTCTGTCATGTACCACTCCGTTGAAATCTTTGTTTAAGCTTTGAATGGGATAAGGACCATAGAGAATTTCTCATGAGCTAAAGGGAGAAGGGAACAAGGAACTGTTCACAATTTCATTCCCGCATCATTTATTTCTCGTTTAGTTTTTTTAAAATTTATTGGAATGGACGCCTCTTGGGGTTGGCCACTTTGCTTGATTCATTGTTAAGTTGTGGCTGGACTGATTGTGAGGTTCACAACCTACTCTCTTATAATATGATTGTGAGATTGTGACACCTAGCACAAACTAAAGCATGCTTGAAGTGCGGCCAAGAGGGTCACAGTGCTTGAACTGACCAAGAGAGAGTACTAAAAACTTGATTAATTAGCCAAGAGACTTAGGCGGCACCAGAGGGACTATGCACAACCACTCCGAGGAGGGAGAGTACGCCTCTACCAACAAGGACAACAAGAACCTCGACATAGCGGTGAAAGATATCTTACCTATTTTGGGACATCTTACCCTAACTTTATCCTAACTTTACTTGATTCAGGATCTACACATTCATTCACTCGGGTACTCGGGGGTGAAGGATGGTTAAGTGCAACAGCGGGACAGACACCATTTCACTGAAAGTTTCAACAAATGGACTCAATGGAGGAATGAGTTAGCAATAAAATGTTTGATACATGGAACAGCCTTCATAGGTAGCTTTTATATATATATTCAATGCGATTGAATGTAATTTATTGTCAAATAATGGCTATTAAATGTACTTTTAAATGAATTAAGTATAGCTATTGATTTAAATTTATGTGCAATTGAATGCCTAAAAAAAAATTAGAAAATGACTTCATACCCAAAACACCAATTTGTTAAACTCAGATTTCATTATCAATACAACTCTCAACACCCCAAATACCAACTTATTAACCCCTCTCATAACTCAACTCAACTCCGCCCCCCTAAATAACTATCATATATCTTCTATTCTATTGAATTTATTGGAAAGGATACACTGAACACACAAGGAAGTGGAAGACAAGAGAGAGCTTCAGGAACTCACACAGGCAGCCTAAAATGATCAATTTGGACGTTTTCCACTTTTTGCTTCTGGAAATCACTGCGGTTTCTGGACGCAAAGAACTTTCCAAAGTTGTATTCTCTGTATTTTGGGGGATTTTGTTCATTCACAACCTCCTCCAATGGCTTCACCATTGTATGGTGCGCTGGAAAGAAGAAGAATGGAATGGAAAACCTTTCCTTCTCTGTATTCACCACCACCCTGTGCTCCACACTTTCGTATTTGTCATTGCTCCAAACCTGCACAGCACACACAACATGAACTCGGATCGATCGTACGACATTCATACGACATTCATCAGTGGCAAATATCTATATTCCATATTCTATTAACAATGTAAATAAAGTTCTATGCCTAAGAGTTCTAGTTATCCAATCACTGTTCTCTGTCATTAGCTTTTGGAGAGATCAGAGAAGTTTTATACCTAAGAGGTGTTAGTACCCTAACGCCACAACCAAAATACTACATACCAATTGTTGTAGCAGAAGTGGAAGTAGGATCGATTATACTCATACACCCACGAACAGAAATTAAACAAAGAAACAAAGATTTACGTGGTTCGGAGAGAATAAATTCCCCTAAGAATAAGAACTAGATAAGCAATCTCCCTTGACACCTCCAGAAAACCAAGTTCCAGAACTCATTTCAACTTCTTAAAATCTTATGATTTTCAGATAACCATGGACGAAGAAATTCCATATATGTTTATATATGCAATGGCAAAATCTATGTCAATAGGTAGAAACATACTTGAACAATGTCACCAATGTTAACAATATATGCATTTGAGATTGGTTTGACAGGAATCCATTCTCCATCTGATTTTCTCCTCACTTGCAGCCCTCCAACACCATCTTGGGCAAGGATAGTCAAGGCACCAGCATCCTTGTGACGCCCAACGCCAAGCACAAGATCTGGAGATGAGCATGGAGGATACCGATTCAATCTCACCATGCTCATTTGCTCATCTTGGAAATAACCCTTCAATCTATCCGCAATGGGCAATCCAAGACTCAAACAAATCAGCCCCAGTAGCTTATAAGCTAACAATTCCAACTCCTTTGCATACTCCTCACATGTTTCCCTGTTCATGAACAATACAACACGAAACGCAAGTTCATAGGAATTTATACAAACAGTTGGTGTGCGGTTCTCCAAACTCAATAACAATTCCCTAAATTCAATTTCAAGTAATCCGAACATATAATATAAAGAAACATAAACAAAATTTCAGCAATGGGAACTAGAACAGGCGAAGAACTGGAATCTGTTCGGTATATATTTAATTCAAGACAAAGTACCTAAATCCAGGGGGATATTGTGGCCACTGATTAGTCAAAACCCTCAAATTCGTGTCATCTGGCTCGTGCGAAGCCGGAACCAACGTCCGATCCTTAACCAAGAAATCAAACACCTCCTTCCAATCCCTAACGTTTTTCGTATTCTCACCGTCATGGTACCCCATAGCGTTGGCGGCATCTCTCTTCACCTTCCTCTTTTCCTCTACTCCCTGGTCAAAAAACAACTTCGTTACTTCCTCCATTCTCGCAACCAACTCCATGGGAACTCCATGGTTGATGACCTGGAAGAAACCCCAGTTCTCGCAAGCCGAGGCTATGTCAGAAACAAGTTGTTCTACGCTACGAGAGTCGGAGATGGAGAGATCAATAGTGGGAACTTCGTCGATGGGGTCGACGGGTTCGAGCTTCGGGCGGTGCTGAATGGGTTGGATAAAGGAAGCATCAAAGGCCAAGGCCTCGCCCATGGCTGCGATTCGATGGATGCCTTGAATGAAGACTCTGGAAAGGAATTGTAAGCAGAGATCGCCATTATCACCGCGTTATAAGCAGTGAGGAGTAATGAATTTGGACGGATTTACAGCTCCGGTCATGGTTGATGGAGCAGACGAATATTAGGCGTTGATCAAATTTGTCTTGTTGTACGGAAAAGTGAGGGTTGAAGGAAAGTTAGAATGCCTAAAAACGTTATAAAATTCAAAAAGAGGATATTATATTTATTTTAATTGAGAATAGATATTATATTTATTTAGGAAAAAACATTTTTTAATCCAAAACTTTTTTAAATATCAATTTTTTATTTTTAATTTTGAAATTTGAACACTTTTAACCAACCCCATCATAAGTTTTTTATTAAAAAAAATTATCTAAAAACTATTCCCATGAAATTATAATAAAAAAATAAAATATGTGACAAATGGTAAACGTAAAGTAAATAATTGAAACTAATATTGTAAAGAGATTTCACTTTTTTTTTGTTTAATAAATAAATTAGCTAACAATTAATTAGAAATGGTAAACGTACACCTTAACAAGTTTTTAGGTTGAATTTTAATATTTGTTCATAGAAATAATTGTAGTTTTTGATAAGGTGTACATTTGACCCGACAACCCGGACCAACCTAACCCAAATTAGAAGAGTTGGGTTGGATTAGTATTTTGGGTAGGATTGGGTTCATTTTTCTGAACCCGACCTCGATTTTAGGTTCATGGGTAAAATCTTCGAGTTGACCCAGCCAAATAAAAATATATAAAATATTTTTTTGTTTTAATTTTTTTGTTTTTTTTTATTTCTTTTTATATTATTTTGTTATTTTATTATTTTTTGTTTTTTGTTTTGTTTATATTATTTATTTTATTATTATTAATTTTTAATTTCTTTTAATTGTATTCGAAAAATTATAAATTGTGGATAAATAAAACTAAAAAAAATGACCACCCAACTCGGACCCAACCTAAACCCAACCGGGTTGGGTTTGGTTGTGAAAAGTTTCGGGTTAGGTTGGGTTACCAATCCAACCAACCCGAACTTTTGGGTTCGGTAAAAAAAAAATTCCCAGCCCAATCAACTCCGAAAGTGGGTAAAAAAAAATCCCCCAACCCAATAACTCCGAAAGTGGTAGAGGGTTGAATTGGGTTGTGAAAAGTTTCAGGTTGGGTTACCAATCTAACCAATCCCCCAACCCAATAACTCCGGAAGTGGTAGAGGGTTGAATTGGATTGTGAAAAGTTTCAGGTTGGGTTACCAATCTAACCAACCCAGACGTTTTTGTGTGAGAAATCAATAAAAATAAATATTCTCATGCCTTCTTAATAAATTACAAAATACTGGTATGTATTACTAAAATTTAGACAAAAACGATATTAGATTTCTTTTATTAAAATTTGTAAGTCAAAGTCATTTAATAGCTTATTTGTACATTAAAACTTAATTTTTATTAAAATAGTGAATTTTTATTAGTGAATTTTGAATAGAATGTAAAAGTTAATACTATTGACAAAATATAAATTCTAATTTTTGTCTGTAAACTCGTTTTTAGAAACAAAAGTGGGTTTGTGAGTTTGATTACACACACATATATATATGGACCAAATCCCCAAAAAAAAAAAAAAAAAAAAAAACCAAAAATCATGTCAAACACCCTATGGAACCTTATTTTGCATTTAGATATATTTCTCCTTTCGATCTTCACATTTCTACGGCATAAACAAGGCAGACTGCAATTGTTGGTTTTTCCATGCCAATCTTCCTCAAAAGTCTTGCAGGAGATAGATGTTCAACATAAAATAATTCGATGCAGGCTAAACATATCAGCAGAAACTTGGATCAAACATTAAAAAAAAACACCTTTGCTCCAAATTCACGAATTCGGATGCCGATACTGCTGCACAAAGTTTTAATGTAAGCAGGGAGGGATAGTACTGGATCTGGGATTGCTTGCAACTATTTACAGTAGTAACTAGGGGAGGAAATGCTCACGGAAGTGTTTTTGGGTCTGATCTCTTCAAGCAGATGGCATTGAGGTTGAGAGAACCAGATAAGACAAGTATTGAAGCCCGTCCTGGATTTTGCAGAAAGCTGTGGTTTGATCAGCGCGAAGACGCTTGGAGAAGGCGTTGGCCTTGTCTTGTATCGACGTTTGCAGATGACCTTTGTGAGAATTGGCTGGGACTGCACTCATGGCAGCTTCGTATGCTTTCGAAACATCAGAAATGCCTGAAGAGAGCATTGAGTTTTTCAGATTGAGGTATCTCAGATTTTATATACTAAACAAGGCAGACCATAATTAGTATGAGAGCCTAGTTGAAAGACAACAAAACTAAAAGACGAGGGCACAAATCATACCTAAACAAATTCAATGTTTATATAGAAGGGATGAAAATGGATAGATCAGAATAAAAGATGCATTCCACTTTCTTATCTTCAATTCTATAAAAGGAAAGGCAGCCTCAAGACTTCATTTTTTAGGCCAAGTGTCAAGGTAGTATGAGATGTAAGCCTTAATTTTTAGTTAAAAAAAAGCATGTCAAGATGCATAAAACTTATATTACAGAATATAATGATTATATGGAAGTACACTCAATGTGACAAATAGTCGAGAAAGATGACGTCATATTAGCGAAATAGAAGGATATTAATATCAGAATTAAATCGGATGATAAAAAGAAGGCCAACCTGTGATGAAGCTATTGGATAGTGCATCTACATATCTTGTCATGGATAGAGCCTTCAGTCTAATGATTTCAGCTTTTTCAACAGAATCTTCGGGCCATTGGATGTTTACAGCATTTTCATCTTCATCTTCATCATCATTGTCACCATCAACTTTGTTGGCTTGTGTTATAATGGATTTTCCAAGCATCAAAAATTGAGACACCGCAAAATAACACATTTCTGAAAGTCTCTGCATATGCAAAAATAACACGCTTATTGTCAAATATCACTGCACCATATCCATGTTAAATGTCAGCTGGATTGTCTTATTAACAATGTCATAGAATTAAAAGAAAAGGAATATATCTCACATGGACTCCATCCGAGTGAAGTGATTCTAATCTGTCAACAGTCCTTTGCATTATTTCAGGAACAGCAAGTTCGGATACGGAACTTCCAAATCTGCAAGTGATTAAAACGCATCGAGGCACTTACATTTAGTGCATGAGTGCTCATGAACTTCATTTAATACAATAAATGTGAAATAAAAATTCAGCATAGCATTTCAAGGAAAACTTTACCCTGCAGCCATTTCAGCAGCCTTGCTGACACTAGAATCGTATAAACTCTTCATCTCATCATTTCCTTCTTCTCCAACTTCCAACTTTTTACCTTTGTCTGATTTTAAACTGCTTCCTTCCATTTCATTACTCAAACTGAAAATTTGTTGGACCTGTTTAAGCTTTCCATCATACACAGATTTCTGGTCTTGAGATAATTTTCCTTTCCTTCGGTTATATAATAAAGTATAGTGGTTGGACAAGGCTTCCAACTCCTGCAAAAAAGAAACTGCCTCATTAAATAGAGTACCATCTCAATATTATACAACTTTCCAGATTAGAAAGTGACCTCTAACTGTTCTTGACCTCCATATATATAAAAGCATCGATCAAATGTCACTTCTTCATCTTCTAATTGATCCTTCTCAGCATGTGGTTCACTCTCATTAGAGCCTTTCTCAACTTCAATGCCAGTCTCTGTAATCAATAAATCCATGGTTTCCTTTCCAACGAGTTCAAGAACTTCCATTCCCTTGGTTGTGAGAGCCTTTCCTCTCTGTAACACAAATAAAATCACATAGCACATGAAAAATCAAAGAGAGCACGAGATTTTACAAAATTAAGTTTTAGCTATTTCTCGGGATATTTAAACAGAGAAGAAAGAAAAGTTTTTGAGAACTAAGTTATGATAGTAAGTGCAAAGGGAGTACAACAATTTTTTAAGCTTCTCTTCGGTAATTTTATGATGCACACTACTAGGCTCACTTTTACATTACTTTTTACTTTGGCCTACAGGGAAAAGATAAAAAAAAAACGAAAAGATTTAGTTTCTTTCTTTTTTAAGATGAGAAACAAATTTTTGTTTCCAAACACTTATCCTACTTCTTTAGTTTAATGATTTTTTTGTTCACATGTAGGAAACTTGAACCTATAACCTTCAGATTGAGAGTATAGTATCTTAACCAGTTGAGCTACTCTCCTAACAATTTATTAATATATAGAGGAAGAAACATCTCACTGCCGATTACAGAGGGCTGTAATCTCTCCTCTCCCTCGACAACTGTCTAACAGACAAAAAGCATATAAAACGCTCCTTCCTTTCCTATACACTCCCCTACATCACACACAATCCCAATGGTTCCCTCGTACCAGTCTAACTAACTGGTTGTAGCTGTAGTTCCCTTTTTACTCCTGATCTCATACTGAATGGTAACTAGAGGCCAAACACTATGTTGATGTTGACCTCTATAGTATAATGATTCAAGCAACGGGAAATATCTTGAGAAAATTATTTATTCAATAATAATATAAATAGCACTCTCGACCTATGAATCATGATGCATAAGTTCAGTCTGCCAAGGAACCATACTTTAAACTCATGATACTATTTTTATAAACAATCAACACATCAATTGATAAATTAAAAAAGAGCAGACGGGAAACATTCAAGAAGTTAGATTAAGCTCCTAAGACTTTTGTTCTTAACATGACCTTGTAACTGAACCACCTTTGCTCTGCTTACTAAGTTTTTTTTTTTTTTTTTTTTTTAAATACCCTACTATCAATGAAATTATAAATTGTTTCCTATTAAAAAATAAATAAGCTAAATGATACGGGAAACAAACCTCCAACAATGATGGAGCAACAGAACCAGCTGCAGCTGGTATGCTTTGCTGTTGAATGGTTTCTGCAATATTTGCAGCTGAATTCTCAAGCCTAGGGAAGAAGTATAGAATATTACTTCCTTGGGCAT